TCTCTCTCTCTCTCTCTCTCACACACACACACACACACACACACACTCCCAATTACAAAAAAATAAAACAACACACATAAAACGCTCATAGCAGCAATGTGAATCATAATCTGTGTTGAGTAATATAAGGAATATAAAACTAAAACTAAAGACTATCCTAGAAATACACACACACTCACACACACACACACACAAATTATTGATTTCAACAAAAATGGAACAATCCTAAAACATGTATGAAACCACAAAGGACCCCGAATAGCCACAGAAATCTTAAGAGGAAAGTGGGAGGCATCAGGCTTCCTGACTTCAAACTATATCAAAAAGTTACAGTAATTAAAACAGCATGGTACTGGCATAAAAATAGGCACATGTATCAATGGAATAGTAAAGACAGCCCAGAAATAAACCCATCCATATCTGGTCAATTAATTTACAACAAAGGAGTGAGAACAGACAATGGGGAAAGGACAGTCTCTTCAGAAAACGGTGTTAGGAAAACTGGACAGCCACATGCAAAAGAAAAAAACTGGACCCCTGTTGTACACGACACACAAACACAACCTCAAAATGGGTTAAAGACTTGAATGTAAGACCTGGAACCATAGAACTCCTAGAAGAAAACATAGGCAGTAAGTTCCTTGGCATCAGTCTTGACAATGATTTTTTTGATATGACTCCGAAAGCAAAAGCGACAAAAGCAAAACTAAAGTGGAACAACATCAAAAAGCACCTGGCACAGCAAAGGAACCAAAGAACACAGAAAAGAAATCAACCAAATGGAAGAAAATATTTACAAATCATTTATCTGGTAAGGGGTTACTACCCAAAATATATAAAAACTCATACAACTCAACAGCAAAAACAAACAACAACAACAACAAAACAATCATTAAAAAAATCGGCAGAAGCACTGAATAGACATTTTCCAAAACACATCCAAATGGCCAACAGGTACCTAAAAAGATGCTCAGCATCACTAATCATCAGGGAAATGCAAGTCAAAACCACAGTGAGATGTCACCTCACAGCTGTCAGAATGGCCATCATAAAAGACAAGTAATCACAAGTGCTGGTGAGGACGTGGTGAAAAGGGGCCTCGTGCACAGTGGGTGGGATTGCAAACTGGTGCAGCCACTATGGAAAGCGGTATAAACTAGAGCCACCTTACGACCCAGCAAGTCCACGGCTGGGTATTCATCCGAAGACAATGGAAACACTAAGGAGAAGGAACCTGCAGCCCATGGTCTGGTCACTTGGCGTTCTTCACGTAGCCGGGACACGGGAGCCTGAGTGCCCGTGGGGGGTGAGTGGCTAAGGAAAGTGTGGTAGACACCCATGCATTGGAATATTACTCGGCCATAAAAAGAAGGAAATTCTGCCATTTGAGGGCATCATCCTGAGTGAAATAAGTCAGACAGAGAGGACAAATACCATATGACCTCTCTTATAGAAAATAAATTTTTAAAAAATTTTAATAAATAAAAAAGAAGCTTATAAGTACAGAGAACAGATAGATTGGAGGTTGCCAGAGATGGGAGGGGGCGTGAGTGGTGGGAGAAATGAGTGAACTATTTCTTGCTTTTTAGTTTAAACTGAATTTAAAAAATGAAATCAATGACTGATTTCTATAAGCTAAGACAAAAATACTTTAATTCACCCATTTTCTTTGAAACAGTCCAAATATTCTTTAAAAAATTAAGTATCCAGGGCCAGGTGAGTGGCTTGGTTAAGAGTTGGCTTGGGGATGTGAGCTCGGAGCAGCAGGACTGCCAGTTCGGGTCCCACACATGAGGGTCAGTGACGCTGCGTCCTCTACAGCTAAGATGGTGAACAACAGCTCGACCTGGGGCTGGGCTGCCGTGAGTCGCTGCTGTGGGCTGCTGTAAAGCTACTGTGAGTGGCCGACAGCCGATGTGAGCCGCCGTCCAATGGCCAGCAAGCGACTGCCTCACCCAGGAAGAGCGCAATGATCACAATACCAACATGGGCCAGTGAAGCGACGTCCTCCACAACGGGCCTGAAGAACCAAAGGACAGCAACTTGTCTGTTCCCCTTCCCCGATTCCCCAATATAAAGAAAATCTTTAAAAAAAAAATTAAGTATCCATAGAAATAAAACCGTTTGCTAATATATATAAATTTTAGTGAGCCTAATAATTTCAACCAATACCACAGAACTGCATTTTCAAACCATCCCACCACTCCTGAGCTCCCTCCGCTCAGGGGCCGAGCCACTAGCCCATGAGCACACACACCTTCCACGAGCACAGTCCCTTCTGACTTGGTGCTGTCGGCACACAGCAGGCCTCTCTGCAAGGGAAAGCACCTATCACTTGACGCGTGGGCTTCTCACCACCTGCCTGCTGCCTCTGTCCCCCGTGTCCCCATGTCCGCTCCAGCCAACACAGCAGCCTTGGTCAGGGCACACGCAGCCCCAGGCGGCCCCTCTCCCGGCAGCCGCACAGCGGAGCTCCCAGCTCAGTCACGCCAGGTCTCCTTCCAGCATCACAGATGAGCCTCAGCCACAGCCCAGGGACAGTGCGGTGATGGCTTCTGACCGCGCTGGTGACAGGCTGAGCAGCCACGACATGCTGGACTCGGTGACACTATTAATGCCCCATCATCATTCTCCTCGTCTAGAGTTGGTAACTGACTAGTGTTTTTCCTTCCCTTTCAGTTACTCCCTAACAAAACCCAAACTTCTAACCTCATCCCCAAGCGACCTTTCCTGTCCACGTTTTACTAAGCCTGCATCAGGAAGCACGTGAGCCAGCCTAAAGCTGTCGTCATCACTGCTCACTAGCCCTACCACTCGCTAGGGACTCGGTGAACTGGGTGCCTCTTGGGTCGGCTTACAGAAATCAGGGTCATAAACAAGTGACGGCAGGTGCCCAAGGCCAAGTGCTTCAGCTGCCATTTAGAGGCCCAGGCTGGCACGGGGCTCAGAGCAGCCAGCTCATGGGGCAGGGTCCTACAGCTCTGGGCTACAGCACCGACTGCGTGGAGGACACCCCAACACCGGGAAGCCGGTGCTGGGAAGGAGGTGACAGATCAGAGGAGGTGAGCCTGGGACTCAGCACCAAAGGAGCAGCCAACACGCCGGCGAGGGACGTACCCATGACCGTGAACTCACAGCCTTTTACTTTAAAAGTTGCAAATGTGCGTTCTCGCATTTGTTCACCTAAGAGAGACATAGTGGCTAACTTCGAATGTGACACAAATGCTGTTTTCAAAAGCTCTCAGAGGTGCAGGGCCCGCTGCAGCCAACCCTCCAGTCAATGAGACTTATGATAAAGCTGTGCCATGCCACCTCTGGAGGTCCAACGCGGGCCTCATGCACGATGGAAAAAGACATTTACCTTCTTGTGTCTGAACTAAAACTCTGTCCAAGAGCCAAGTGCCACTACTGACCGTCAGTCCAATTTCCCATGAGAGGCATGAGAAAGGGTCACAGCAGAGACAGAGTCAGAGCAGAGTGACCTGCCGGCGACAACAGGGAGACAATGGCGGTGGGTTTCTGGTAAAATGTTTTATAAGAGGAGCCACAAATGTAATAAAACACCCAAAGATCCCACAACTAAAAGAGCAGCCGTGCAGACATGCCCTGGAAGCTGGGAACGTGCAGAGAAAGGGACTGCGGCCACTCAGCAGCGACGACAGCACTGGGCGTGTGCGACTGGATGCCCTGGCTCCCTCCCCCGCAGCCTGCCTCTGCTCCTGTCAACACGCCAACCTTCCGGCATGTTCTCCAGCGAAACTCATCTTAGTACAAGGCAGACCCGCTCTCTTGGCGGGAGGACCTGCCTCCTGCTGAGCAGAGCCTCCAAAAGGCAGGTGGGTGCACATGGCTCAGAATAAAGTGTGAGAATTGATTTACTCCTTCTCTCCATACCCAGTCCTCCTCCGGAGCCCGGCATCTCCTTCTTTCCTCCTCGTCTTTCCCCTGGAACAGATCATGACATGGATTCTGAACACTTTAAAATTAATCTTTAGTTCACTCTATAAAATGTGAGCATTGAATAAAATTATAAAATAATATAAAATGAAGTTTAAAAAGGATTAAGTGAAATAATGTGTGTGAGGCAGTGCCAGACACATGACAAAAACTCCCTTTGAAATTAAGCTTTCATTTTGGGGAATAAAGTGATATGGCCTATGCTTTAAATTAAACAAAAGTCTCTTCTCTTGAGTTAGCACTCAGAGACGGGCAAGTCACTCACCCCTGGCCTAAATAAAAGACGGACTTGGAGGAAGTCCGCCAGCAGCTGGGAAGGCTCCAACTCGGAGCCCAAAGGTCAGGAGGCCACTCCCGCT